GCCAGATAAAGAATGGCAAGTTACCATGCAAATGATAATAATAACAGGATTTCAGCAGGTAAATGAGCATCTCAGCCATATAGAAGACTTGATGGAAGAGAAATCATCAGATGTTAAACAACAGTTAAAGGAACCTGTATTAACTCCAGAACTGTGTTCATTGAGTGCGATGCCAGGGAATATAGATGAGATCAAGTCTTACCCATTAAACTATTTAGCTACAACAGTCGGAAAATGTGAGGTTAAAAATTGGATTAATGTCCTGGATTTGTCCTTCTCCTCCAAAAAATGGAAGAAAACAGAGCCACAGAAACAAAAGAAGCATATTGAGAAAATATGGGAAGTGATTGAAATGTATACTTTTTCAGGCGTGCTGAATGTAGGTCCAAGGCAAAAGGAAATTGAAAGAGGGAATGTATTTTACAATTGGTCTTGGTTTCCTGATAGTGTTGAAATAACTTAGATTAAAACCAAAACATAATTGTAAGTTGAAAGCTAGAGGGTAATCAAACAGTTAAAAAAGAAGAAGAAGAAAGTTGTTTTTTTATTGAAAAATCAATATATTGGATGCTTGTACACTTAATATGAATACATTGGATGATTGTATATTCTGTGTTCTCCTATCCTCAAAACCCTTTTTCCATCCCTTCCACTTCCTTTCACCCTTTGTATTCCCTACCCTATCCCTAGTAGTTTAAAAATAGAATAATTTAAAAAGAAAAGGAAGTCTCTTTGACATTACTATGGATCGTCATATTGGTGCTAAATAAACAAATGACTAAGCTTTTTGAAAGTCACTATGGTGTAGCAGATAGCAGGGATATTGGCAAGTCTTTGGGTCTGAATCTGAGTTGGTATCAAGTCTTAAGCCCCAAGTCTGAGTCCCTATTAAAAATAAACTTTTCCCACCAGAAAAAAACAAGGGTGGGTGGTTTCCAAATAATGAGTCAAGTCCAAGTTATTTGAGGGTGGAACCCAGAGTTGTGTCTCAGTCAAGTCACTGGTGACAACAAGTTCCATGATTCAAGTCTCCATCCCTGGCAGCTAGAATGTAATCCTAGACTCAGAGAATCTGGGTTCAAAGCCATGCTCAGGCATGGAAACTCACGGAAGGGTTGAAGTGGTAAACCACTTTGTGAACATCTCACATACCTCAGAAACCCTGCTAGAGTAACCATAAGTCAGACTTGATGACACATAACACACATGTTGGATTTTCATTCCCCCCTTAAGTAAATCACTATTTGTTTGTTTTTGTCTAGATATTTTAAAAGACCTTGAAATGCTATTTAAAAATGCATTCCTTGATTTAACACAGTTCAGTGTTTCTGAAAGTCATTTCACACATATACAGTCTCCATAGACCTGTATCAGCTGTTCTTCTGACGATGGCAGAGCCCAAGAACTGTTGGGATAAAGTGGCTGGGTCGTGCTGGCTAAAGCTATCCTGTTTGTTCAACTCCAACATAATCCTCTGCTCTTGTCCAGTCTAAACTAATTAGAAAAGCAGAGAATGTGTGTGAATATCAAGGTAATGATAAGAATAAAGTTTATGCCCAGAGAGAAGATTGCCGAACACAAGGAGGAAACTATTTAAGAAGCATAACTTGGAAATGTTACATTTTAGAATTCCTGTTCCCAAAATCCTGCAGCTTGTATACACAGACCAATAAAGTAACTTTTTCAAGTTTTGTTAAGAAGCGCTGTGAATGACTTCATAGTAAGAGTGAACTGGTGATGAAGACAAGTGCTATATCAGCCAGTGCATATTTACTCGAAAGTCTGTTCCACTTAGTTTAATAGTATTCACTCCAAAGCAAGTATAGATATCTAGCCTAAGGTAAGTATGAGTTTGGAGCTGATTTTGCTCCATCGTGCAAAGTAGCTAGCTGCCTCTTGAGTAGCAGCCTTGACAGTGTTGTAACTATGATCTTTTTTCCCCCCTTTACAGCATTTTTGTACATTATTACAGCTTTCCAATGTGGCATTCTGCCAGGCAGGGAGGAAAATGATGGATAGCTAGCCATGCTGTGAGCAGTTTATTGTAGTTAAGGTCAATTCTTGAGTCATCTCATCCCATTTTTTCTATTATGCTTGAGGGGAAAAGCCCCTTTCGTATTTTCCATAGTTTGCTTAAACCTTTCAATCCATTCCCTATGGGAGGGAAAGAGCTGCTGCTTAGGATTACTTAAATGTTTCAGCTGATAGCATCATCTGAAAAGGTTGCTTTTTAAATTATGGTTCTTCAGTTTATATCATGGGGAGGAAGCTGGCAGCAGAACTTTTAGTGAGATCATCATAGCAATAAGGGAAACACTTTTGGTAGTGTTAATATGACATTGGCCACAGCCACCTTCAAGATTAAGTGCACCATTTCAGAAACTTAGGTCTGATGGGACTTACTGTGTCCATCTGGTTCTGCACAGCTTTTTCTGTGCCTTCTCTATGTTGCCAACCAGAACACCAAGGGAACATTCAAAATTACATTAGGAGGAAGATGTCCTAAATATGTGTTTGCATTACAGTTGCCAGATGTTAAAAACACAAATAAGAAATTACAGGATCAGATCAAATACCTATCTAGTTCAGCATGTCATAGTGCTCAACCAGATATTTGCAGAAAGTCTAGGATGTGAGTTCAATACCACCTTTCGGCAACTGGTACTATGAGACAGACTGGCCCTGCTAGTGAAGGTTATGTCTACTCATAATCACCACCAGTTGCCTTCCTTATAAGTTCTGCTGCATATAAGGAAGGCAAGAACAAGACATAATCTAGAGTTTTCTTCATGTTTCTTCTGATGCCCTTATCCCTCTTTTTCTTACTAGTTGTCATGCTGTATAGGGTTCTATTGTAGTGAGAATCATATAGTCTTATAGATACTGCCTGACTACTGGTTGTCTCTGGCCGTACTGTTTGTTTGTTTGTTTATGTTTATATTCATATCCCACCCATTTAGTGAACATGCCACTACTCTGGGCAGCTTACAACATATTATAAAACATGCAGCTAAAAATATTAAAACCATATAAAACATATTAAAAGAAAACAAACAAAACCCTAGTCTCTCATAAAATCACCATTCTGGTACATAGGATGGCAGACAATGGGCCAGCATAATTTTCACAAAAGGATGCTGCTTGGGAAGGCCTGGTTAAATAGCCAGGTTTTAATTTGCTTGCAGAAGCTCAGGGTGTTGGGGGCAGTGGTGGGATTCAGCTGATTCGCACCTGTTCTACCAAATCAATACCTAATATATTATTGCTTCTGCAGAACCGTTTGCTGGCCTGCTGAATCCCACCACTGGGCCCCCCTGCCCCGACCCCTGCCCTCCCTGCTTCCGCCTTTGCCATTGGGGGGCAACCCTGGGAGACGGTAGGCCAGTGGGCCAGACCACCGACCTGCCCAGGCAAAATGGGAGGCAGGGGGTACCACTCAGCATTTTCCCCAATGTGGCAGACCCAAGTCTCAGGGCCAGCTTCCCACGGGAGTTAACGCAGGACAGGCCGGCGAAGGTTGCAGCTAGCTAAGCTGTTGGGAAGGGGAGAAGCCTGAGCAGGAGTGCCTGGACTGCACGGCGGTGGCAGTTTGGGATCCCTCGGGCTCTAGAGGAGGGGGCAGGGGCAGGGGTGGTGGCCGAGGTCTGCCAGCCTGGGCCCTCCTGCTCCTAAGGGAACAAGCTGGGTTGGGCTTTTGCTGCTGCTCCCTGCCGGGATCCAGTGTGCAAATGAAGGAAAGCGGGTGGGGGCTGAACGAAGACCTGCCCCCCCAGCTGCTAACCCTAACTGTTTGTCAGGTATTTAATATTAAAATTTTTCCTTTAAACATAATCTAGTTGTCTGTACTTCTTTTACTGTTCTTATTGCAGTATTTGTGAATTATTAAACTACCTTGCGGTATACTGTATCTTTTGGTATAGTTAAAATGGTCATTAATACATAGAACCTGTTAATTTATTTGAATCCCACCACTGGGCGGGGGCCAGTTGCATCTCCACAGAAAGAGAGTTCCAGAGTGGAATGGCCCAGTTTCACTACTGAAAAGGCCCAGTTTCTGACTGATGCCTTCAGGGCCTCTTTTGGAGTGGCCACCTGCAACATTAAAGACTGGGAGTTGCGGGTGGGACTGGAAGATGACCTGAGGGAGAGGCACTCTGACAGGTAGCTCTGACATCTTGAGAAGGTCTTTCCTCATGCCATTACTCCCTGAACATGATGTACAAATATATTCAGTCCTTTGGGTGCCAACTGTTGGCAGAGAGAAAGAGTGAACAAAAAGTCTTTAATAAAATGTTATGATTGAATGAGTAACTACAATATAGATGGAAAAATATCAGGCAGGACATTCTGACGTGATCTAAGACAGCATTCCTCGGATTATCATCCTCCAGATGTTCAGAGGATAAGTTCTATCTGCCCGTAATATCATGGGAAATGGTCAGTACAGATGCAAAGACTGATGGAGGATGCCATGTTATCCACAGAAGAGGATGCTGTACCCATGGAATATCTTTACATTCTTATGGTAAAGTGAACTTCCAATGAACTTTTGAAACATATGATACAAGGCTTAATTCTCCATATCACACTTTCTTTGTAACATATATTTTATTACAGCATGTTGTTCCTGTGCAGGTCCAAGAGATTGTTTTCTGTATGAAGAGGAGTTCAAAGTTAGGACCACAGAATCTTGCAGCATTTCTGATACCACTCCCTGTCTACTTGTGCCCCTTCATCAGCGATGGTGCTGCCACAGCATTGTTTTCTTTTACTTTGTCATGCTGAATGGAAATGATGCATGCCTAATATGACAAAATGGAGCCTGCTTTTCTGTCATCTCTTTTCATGGATGTCAGGGTGCTATTCAAAATATAAATCTTATATTCCTTTGAAGATAATCAAATTCTGAGGCAAGTTCCTTGTTAGATATAAGTTAGAAAAAGAACTGAAAACATAGGATCTCTATTCTTATAATGTCCAATATCATATTTCTTTTACAGAGATCTATGACTTGTCTACAAATGCAGAATACAGTTGGTATAGTTCTGTTCATTGAGCTATGAAAAGAGTAATGTAAATCTAATAAGGGTGCAGAAAAGAACAGCGAGAAGCATCAAGGAGAGGAAGCAACACCCTTATGAGAAACAGGTACACTGCATGGAAATTTTTAAGTACAGAAAATGGAAAATAAGAGGGAACTCCACAGAGCTGTGTCTTGTCAAAGCTGACAAGGGTTCTTGTGAAACTGTGGACAATGTAAACATAGCAGAGGAAAGTAAAGGCAAAAGGCAACACAGCAAAAGTTACAAGCAGTAATAGAATTAAGTCCCTTCTCCATATCAGGAGCCCCTGAAGGACAACAGTGGGCAACTGACTGACTTCTGAGAGTCAGTTGTTGTGCAGTATCTCTGTGAAGTCAGGTCTATGGTGAAACTCAGCAAATGGTCAATATCCCTGCCCCTTATCTACTTTTTCAGACAATGCGTCTGTGTATGGCCAGCCTTTTGGATGTTTATAGTTCACTTGGCAAAATGTAACAAAGCATCTCAGTAAATGAGCAAACTGATCACAAAAACAGACATCAAAGGATGGGTATCAAAGCATGACACCTTCTAGGACTGTCCAACCTGGATATACCTTATCACTTTTCAGATGTCTCAGCCCAGAACATCTGAGATGAAAAACATGGTCACCTATCCAGATAAGACAGCCTTCTGCCAGCTTTCAGCACTTGAAGCCTTCCCCAAGCAACTTCTGGTAACCTCTAACGTCTTGCTCTTGCCCAGCAATAACTTAGGCATTTTAAAGCATCTTAAGCTTTGAGCACAGGGAGGAATACTGCGGCATACCACATAAACCTCCTCCCCATTCTTCCTTAAGGGCATCAAAAGGTGTACAAAATTGGACATGATATGGAGAAAGTGAATGTGGAGTAGTTTTGTTTCCTGTTTCATAATACTCAAATCCAAAATCACCACCTGCAGTTTATCAGAGAGAATGCATTTCTTCCCCTTACTACATCATTCAGCTGTGGCATTTAGTGCCACATGCTCTAATGAGGGCCACCAAGTAGGCAGTTTTAAAAAGGTGTTACCACAGATCTATGAAGACAGGGCTATGGATGGATGGCTAGTCATGATGGCTACATATTACCTCAAGAATCACAGATGATTTATTTCCATGGAGTGGGGAATCATTAATAGGAAGGGTGTTGGTCCACCTGTTTTCAAGCTTGTAGGTTTCCGTTAAACATCAACTTGGCCACAGGCAATTTGTCTGATCCAAAGTAGCTTGCATTATATTCTCACTATACCATGGGTTATTTCATAATTGAATAAGCCTGAGATGTGAAAATGGAATGTTAGAATTGTATTTAAGAAGAGAAATCATGCAATGGCATGAAAGGCCTGCTAAACAGGCAAGAAAGGAGCATGATCAGTCACTCCCTTTGCAGTTACTGCCCTTCCTTTGCCCATGCTGCTACCAGGAAAAAAATTTCTTATTCTCAAATGCAAGCAGGAGTTAGGTGATGTCATATGTATCTGATTGGACTGTTGTTGCACCATGGATGTAAAGAAGAGCTATCATTTCTTGGCCAAACAGGCTGTTTCAGCTTAGTGAGAGGTTTCTAAGCCTTGTGAGCAGATATCCATTCTGACAGTAGGGACACACACACACACACACACACACACACACACACACACACACACACACACAGAGGGCCTATCCTGCTTACCACAAGGTTGCAGGGTTCCAGCATGGCCCCAGTCCTTACACAAGGGAAAAGAGGAAGTGGTGAATCTATATTCAGTAACACTATGATTGTTATAAGTATAGCCCTGTTTAGGCATTCAGACATGGACCCCTTTCCATTTGATATCTCCCTGTATTTTGGGGGAAGTATGAAAATTAAACATGATGGTTACTGAGCTCCACAGATCAGGAGCCCTGCTTAATCAGGGCTTCTGCCTGTGTGGAGGTCTATAATTGCATTCAGCTGAAGGTGATCACAACACCTTTTCAGACTACATCTGGGACCAAGGGGAGGTCAGGAGCTGAGGCAGACAGGCACGTCATTGGCTCCCTTTCCTTGCACAAGAAAGCACAGAAGCAGGGCTAATCTCAGTGAAACATCTGTCAGTAGCAACTGGGAGCAACTTTCTACTGTAAATATCTACATGGTTGATGCTGGCATCACATGTATAAAAATAGCTGTAAATTGATAAAAATATGATTAACTACATCACCAGTTTGGTAAGGAAATTGCTTATTGATTCTTGGAAACAGTGGTAGTATACTTAATGGATCTTTGGAAAACTTCAGATTTGCTGTATCACTTAATTCTACACTCTTATTCCCTGGAGGAAATCAGTTTCAAACTCTAGCAGTTGTGACATACAGAAACATGTATTTTTAAATAAGCCATTCATTACAATTCCTTGTCACATAAAATTTACATTACAGTAAATAAACAGAGAATTTAAATTCCATGTCAAAGTGTCACCTTTACAGACTTTAGGGCTTTTGGACCTGGTTCACAGGTCAACACAGCTGCCTCTGTGCTCTAAACAGAAAATTGTGTGCTTTACCAAGCTAATTCTAAATATATAGGAAATCAATGTAATCTGGCTACAATAAATGATTTTCAGCCATTTACCATTTACCATTTTCAGCCAAGTAGCACTGAATTAAGTAATTGGGAACGATCACAATTGGATATATTGCAACTTAAAGATTAAGTATCTACTATTAGCCTCTCCTTGTTCCCGAACCCAGTAATAACTCTGAAACAATCTACTTTTTTTTCAGGTAGAAATACATAAGGGATATATGCACAACAATTACTTATCTATACAACATGATTGCATTTGCTTCTTTTAAAAAGACTTTTCTTCCCAGGCTATTAAAACTCATTCAGCACTACTGGAAAAATTACTTGTGTATGCAGCATGAGTTACACATGGATTCGCCATATGAATGCATTACTTACAGAAGAAGTATAAAATAAGCTTTATGTATTGATTCTGCTCATTACAAATGCTTCAGGGCTGTTTTAAAAGCATGCCATTGGAATATGTTTAGTTGGCTTTGTTTCCTATCAAGCCATTGTAATAACTGGTATGAGGTGAATGTGAAAATAGGGAGTGCTTCTTTTCTGAATGATCCCCAGCCCATCAGGGATCTTGTAATGAATATAATGATGTCATCACATCATTCCTTAGCTACCACTTGAGGACAATCAAAGGGTTTCCCATGAAGACCCATTTAATGCTACCATGGAAGTGTGAAAGTATTAGAAATATTGATAGGTTGGCCTAATCTGAAACACAAATTGGACAATGTAAGGTAAGAATAGGATGCTTACCTGTTGGATGCAGATTGCTATTTAAATGCTATTCTCCACAGTGTTTTCATTTTGGAGATCAAGAACTTGACAATACATTCTTAATGGATAAGAATCTTACTTCACTATCCAGAATATTGCCAAGCAAACAAGCAAAGCAAAAAAGCTTGGTAACACCTTAAAGATTAACTATATTGTTTGGTATAAACTTTCTCAGATGCATGAAATATTCTCTAGTTGGCACATTAGTATTCACTTGCTTGCTTGCATGGGTAGATGGGTGCATGGGTGGGGGTCTACGTAGTGGGCTTAACGTGAACTGAAATGCAAAAAAGTATGAACATGGGTCATTACCTTAACTGTTGTTATTGTGATGCCTTTGACCATGCTCAAGCCACAGAAGAGAGAGCTGAATGTCTTGGTGAAATGTTGATCAACAGTTTCCTCTTAAAACTGAGTTGTTTTTAGTTTCGTTCCGTTCTTGCCTAGTTATGCCGGCATAATAAAAACTGTGTCAGTTTTGGAACAAGTTGCCTTAAGTAAAGAAATCATCATAGACATTATCTGTTGCACACTGAGTTGTGTGATTCAACATGCAACTAGTAATGTCTAGAACAATTTATTAACTTGGGGCAATTTACTGTACCTCCAAAAGGTGCACCCTTTGCATAGCTACACAGGAAGAATTTGGCCTACATGCATTAAGCTGCTCATCAATGCCAGGATGTCTGCATTATCCAACAACTGTTAATAGGCATTTTAAAAGTAAGTAAGAACTCAGTTCCATGCAACATGTTCTTGGGCTATAAACAAGCATTTAGTTTGATAAGTCATTCAGATGACCATAACAATCTGAGGCATATTTTTAAAATTAGATTACAAAAGAAGGTCTGCAACACCTTGAAACAGATCATTGCATTCTTGATGGCTAACAAAAGTGTAAAACATTGAAAAATGCAAAGTCAGGTAAATATACTGTACATATAGTTATACAATTAACAACACATCATTTTTGCCCCCTTGAAAGCAACAAAGGCACTCTAACGCACAAATGTGCATTAAACAAACAAAGAGCAAGGAGGAATCTTGATGTGTTCACGTAAGGATTCCTTTCTGTGCCCTGATTCAAATCTATGCCGCTGTGCTCATTGACTAAGTCACAGCGCAAAAAAGGAAACCTGATGTGTTCATATAATCACACCAAGACTCTTCACTCACCTCCCACATAATTCAATCAGGGCACATTTATGCTGAAGCACACTTCAAGGATGGGGAAAGAGGCACAACCTGGACTCAGACTGTTTCAGAAACGCTGGCAAATCCTGCTTTATAAAATGGTTGGTATGTCGAGAGGAGCACAGAGCACAGCAAACTTGCCAAACAATTGTGGAATGGAACTGGGGAATGAAAGTGGCATCCTATATAATTGTCACTTCCAATTATATAGGCATTGTTCCACAAGCACAGTGTTCGTGTTGTTGTTGTGGTTGTTTTTCTGACCCCATCCACATTGCTGTTGCTTTTGAAGGATAAGATTAACTTGTGACAGCACCTAATCTATGTGGGGGAATCTCCATTTGGAATAATCCCTTGTATGATGAGTGAGATCTTGCATTGCTGTCTGCTAGACATTTTATGGCTTCTTTTTAAGTGCTGGGATATCTTGGAATTTTAGTGGAAATGTGAAAGAAACTTTAAATATAGCCCCTCTGGGTGGCTCATGCAGCACTATACCATTCAGCACCATCCCCTGAAACGCAGAAGAATGCAGCATTCGTTTTCTGTTAAAATGTAGCTACCAGAGATCAATTTTACCTCTGACTGAGAGCTAATACGTGTATGCTGAGTATTTATTCTTGAAGCCCATCAATCAGATTTATAGCACACAATGTAGCCATTAAGTTATAATGTTATTTTGAAGACTTGTTATATTACTGGCCCCACTGTACTTGTTGACGAATTCCTCCTGCCTGACAAGCACATTCCACTTGTCTCCATTTGAGAACGTTTAGCTTTGGCATTATTTGACTAATTTGTAAATGGGCAAGCCTGGAAGGGACAGAAGACCAGTTCCCACAGGCTGCTGTTTCCCTCTTCGTGCAGCGCCTCCCTATGATGGAGTATAAACAAGCCCATATGAGGACAAGTCCTGCATGAACCAATGATGAAATTTCATGACATAGGTCATTGGCCACAAAAGCATACAAACCAAATACATCTGTTTGGCACTGTAGAGTATTGTACTATGGAATTCCTGTTTTCGTGGCTCAGGAAAAGACAGATGCACTTTGTTGTGATTTTTGTGATCACAACTTCTTCAGAATGTTGCCAGTGTAATTATTCATGTGTGTCTAATGGGCTGTGCATGCCTGGAACAAATCCATGTGGTGCCATACCTGAGGAAGTTGGAATTTCTGGAAGGCAAAACCCAACCTAAGAGTGTCAGTATACACTTGGTTTGCTGTTGAAGGTTTTTTTTTTTTAATCGCTTCTGCTGGGTTTTCCCAAAGAAGTTGCTACAGTTGTCTACACCAAAATGATTAATTATTTCATTAGAAGAGTCCATACTGCACTTCACAATCAGTTAATTTCCAGTGGGAACACAGTCTCACCCTCTTAATACTTCCCTGTTCCCTAGCCCTTCCCTTTGTCCTCTTTCTTTCTTTCTTTCTTTCTTTCTTTCTTTCTTTCTTTCTTTCTTTCTTTCTTTCTTTCTTTCTTTCTTTCTTTTTCAGAAGTGACATAGTACTTATTACTATAACACCAAGACCCACTGAAGATGTCATTTTCAGCCTCACCATAAGCATGCCCACAAGTGCACAGCAGAAAACGGAGAAAAGTGATGCTAGCTAAATCAATGCAAAATAAACTACTCCCTGCTGGCTGAAGGAAAAGAAATGGATGCCCACGGAAAAAGACTGAGTTTTTCCCCCACTTAGCTTTATGTTGTATATCTGCTGATAAATACTTAAATTCTAACCATTTTCAACTCTGAGACTAACCTCATGTTATACAGTGGGGTCTCGACTTACGAACGGCTCGACATACGAACGTTTCGACTTACGAACCGCTCTCATAGGAATATATGGACTTGACTTACGAACTTAGATTCGAGTTACGACTCTTTTTTTCTTTTTTTTAAAGCTAAGTCATCTTAGGTTAAAAGGAAAAAAGAAAAAATATCCCCCTCTAGTGGCAGAAGGCGGAATAGCAGCGTCCCATTAGTTTCTATGGACGAAAAGAGCAGATACGGATTAAATGGTTTTCAATGCATTCCTATGGGAAATGCAGATTCGACTTAAGAACTTTTCAACCTGAGAACTGCCTTCCAATACGGATTAAGTTCGTAAGTCGAGACCCCACTGTACTGCAATAGAGTCACATGGTAACTTCTGCATTTAATACCATTCAATGAAATAATCTGGGCTGACATGCTGGCTTTGATACATCTTTTACAGGATAATCCATATGGTCAATACTACATGGAATTGTGCCCAGAGAAGAACCATTTTCAGAATCCCTTTTCCTGAGGTCAACTTTGAAGTACCATTTTAAAAACAGCATTTCATATGGAATGCCATCCATGGCCCCTGGCCATGCTGGCTAGGAGGTGCTGGGAGGTGTAGTCCAGAAAATGCTGATCATAATGATTTAGAATTTGTTGAATGGGAAATGAAGCTATAATTTTGACCATGTTCATTTTAAAAGAAATAAATAAAATGCACTGAAAGCCACTGAAGTATTAGTCATGAAGTTCAAAGTTACTACAGCTTTACATGTGAAGATACATTGTTGAGTGTGCACTATTCCCCCCTCCCCCCCCAAATATCGAGCAAATGTTTAAACTGGTAGCTATGACAACTGCCTTCTTAATTAAAGCAATTGTCTGGGGTACCTGTCTTTAATGGTAGCCGTAGCAATCCATTATGAACAAGCAGCAATGTGGGTGAACAAGACTGCCCTACCATTATGTTGATAGAAGCAGCTACCTCAGGCAGTGATGCAGAAGAGCTAGGAATAAACAGAGCTGTTGGAATGGGATTCCAGTTAAGAATCATCCTGCTCAGCTCTTGTATTTGGCATGCGGAAGACACCATCTTGGGCAACTTAGGTGGCAAAATGTCCTGGGCTACCTTTGCAGACTACCAGTTCATGCAAAAACAAGGCAACATCAGATTTTCCAACATTGCACACATCCTGGTGATGTTCAAGATCTCTCCAAGGACAATATACCACCAGAAGACAGAAAGATCTCAGCTTCATCTAGTTTAATTTTGCAAAAGGTAAAGATATCTCAATCCCTGTTCTAGTTAGGCCTTTGTTTATTTAGCCATAGTAACACGTTCTCAGCAAAGACTCCTGAAACAAAACAGTCAAAGTTATAGCAATGCACAGAATACACGTTTGCTGTGTTTTATAGAGAGAAAGGGGTGTGTGTGTTAGTTTGTCATTGCATTTATCTTCAAGTCTAAAGTTAGAAGTCTCTAGTCAGCAGGAACATTAAAAACACTTAATTTTTTCCCTGAAACTTTAAAACTCCCTACAAAGAAATTACTGGAAACAGTACTTAACCTTTATATACCATGATCTTGGAATGTCTCAGTCCACATTTTCTACAGGCAGACTAATTAAGCAGTAAATATATGAAGCTGTAATAATGCCACCAACAACTTTTAAGCATTAAAACTATATGCAAGAGAAAATTGAGAATTAAACTTCTATCAGCTTCCAGTAACGTTTTAATGAAAATCAACTATTTCATACATTTGGTCTTTACCAGGAAAAAAAAAAGAAAAGGAAAAGAAAAAAAGAAAAAAAGAAAAGACATGGCTTAAGGAATAAAACTGTTTGATCCCTGATTCTGCTATTGGCTTAATATTTCAAAGGGTCGCTTTAACTTTATAATATATATATATTTCTTTTCAATCATGATCATATAAAATATTAATGCGGTGAATGTGCTTGTTATAAAACATGAAATTTATCGAAGCAGTTCATTTTTTAAAAATTCACTATAAAACTTTACAATCAGCAACTCTGTTGAACAACAGTAATATATTTTAACATATGGCACACTCGGTCCAAGTCCATGCAGCTCTTTTGTATCTTGGTATTGAAGAAAGGCTAAAATAAATAAAACAGTATGTTGCATGCTGTAATCAAAGACAAAAAAGAGGATAAAACACATTCCTCATGGAACTTTGATGCTGAAAGAGTGTAGGACACCTTGCAAGAACAACAATAATATGAAACAAAGAGGGAATGCAACATTTTGTTGTCAGCATGACTGCTTCTGGTCATGGCTCAGATTTGCCCATTTCCCTTCCCTCCTATGGCTGAAATCCTGTTGTGCAACACTTCCAAAACTGTGGAAGTGCTGGTCTTATTCACAAACCACTTCCCACATGCACGGGAGGGGTGAAATGGGAGTCCTGTGGTCATTTGCACAATCTAACTGTGCAACACTGGTTGTCTGGGTGTGATAAATGTCACATTTCCACTAGTATAACTTTATGTTATGCCAGAACATGCAGGATGTTAATCAGTGTGCCCCATCTTTTCCAATTTGTCTTCCTATAAATAGGCTGGATAATTTAGAGAGGCCACAAGGGATTGTGCTGTAAAGAATAACTGTAAAGATAATGAATAAATGAAGATTATCCTCTGTTTTCTCTTTGAGGTCCTTCTTTGGGGACACATCTGTTGTATCATTTCAATTTTCTCACCCAGGCAAATGTTTTTTTATTTGTCAAAGGACATCTCATGATTGGGCCGTCACCTTATTATTTCAATACAGCAAAAGAAACCTTTTTCCTTTACATTTTCCTAATCACAAAAATGGATGTGAAAGAGAAAACCAAAAGAGATGAAATAAACCGCCAGCATGTCCAGTGTGTAAGTCTGCCTGTTGGGCATATGTATGCCTCAACAATTCAAAAGCAATTCCATTGTCCAGAACAAAATGCTTGCTATTCTTTGGGTGCAATGAGCAGAGTAAATTTATCCTCGGCTGGATCCATTCATTAAGTGTGTTGTTTCTTTATCAGTTCTCTGCTATACATGAACATACTTCCCCTCACCTTACTTGCTTTTTCACCCCACATCCCACTACCAAACAAATATAATGAGTGTGCTAAACGTGTTTGATCTGCGCCATGTTAACTGCCCATTGTTGAATCTCTGAAGAGAGCAGAACAAAGGAACCTTAACATAAACTACTAGTATTCACTTCTTATCAGTTTACAAGTCACGGGTGGAGCGAGCACGTTCTGCTACAATCAAGCTCCACTCCCAGGCTGCAGCACAGCAAATGCCTCACCTCTTGAGGAGAAAGGAAACATAACTATATCAGTCCCCTTTCATCACTGCTGACTCCTCACTCCACGCTTGCTGTATTATAACTGCTAAATTCTTCATGCACATTAATTTAAAGTTTCTCGACTTTAAAAATTTTTCAAGCCCCATTAGATTCCTCGCCTCCTGGCCAGAGCACTTTTCTTTCTCATCTTTCATAATTTGCACTGAGTACCTCCATGCAAAACTACTGCCTTTTTCCTTTGAAAAGCAAAGCACACACCCAGGGCAAGCACAGAGGGCTTCTAATTAGAAGCGGCAAGGGAGAGTTCACCGGGTGAGCAGCATCCAGAGATAGAAAGAAACAATTGATTCTGTATCTCCTGCGATAAAACTTGATAGCACCACACTTAAGTCTGACTCTCTCTATTTATTGTCACCATCTTGGGACTTTCGCTCACTCTAGATCCTGAAAATTCTATGTAAATATTCAGAAATAACTGATTCTCCCACCACCCCAAGCTCCAGAATCCCAGCCTGCTGAAAGTTCTGGGGGATTTGCAAGCTTGCATTTTCCATATTTTATTAGTCCAACAAAGGTAGTATGAAAGCATGTGCCATTAAATCAGTTCTGATCTGTGGTGACCCTTTCCATGGTTTTCTAGGTGTAGAGGGAATCTGTTATTTTGGATTTTATTCCTGGACCACACAGCTATACGATGCCCCCCCCCACACTTTTCTAACCCAAACATTAATAAAACCTAGCTTTGGGTATTCAGCGTCTGGACTCAGAACATCAGACAATAGGAGTCCCTATTGAATCTGAACCTACAGACTCCACCTCCAACGAGGTGCCAATTGGTTTGTTCAGCATCAGCTGACATCAGTTCCATAAGGCTCGTGATTGCAGGAAGCTAAGTCTCCTGACTGTAGGAAGCTAAGCCTCGTGACTGAAGGAAGCCTGTTTACAGAGGCAGGTTATGTGCCGTTTTGCTCTCTCCTCAGCTATCTCAGCTTACCTCTGTGTAAAAGACGTCCCTCAATTTTTAGTGTACTTTTAGGAAAAAGTAGCATTGTATACATGGAAAAATACGGTACTCTACTACTTACTTTTCAGAATGCACCAGATGATGGAATAAATCTGTCTCTTGGTTGTATCACCTCAAGACGGCAGGTGGGAGACTCAAATGACTGAATGTTTCTATTTATGTATACACAGAAATGGTTGTTGTGGGTTTTTCGGGCTCTTTGGCCGTGTTCTGAAGGTTGTTCTTCCTGATGTTTCACCAGTCTCTGTGGCCGGCATCTTCAGAGGACAGCACTC